TGGTATTTCTTAACGCATACAGAAATAATCCACAAGCACACAGAATTACTGTTGTAGCATTTCTCCTGGAAGTACTCAGGGTATCGTATTTTCTATAGGGAACGAATGTATTCTTCTAGCTAGTTCGTCCAAGGACAACACAAGGGTAGAGTTGGTAAAGGTTGAGATAGATTCATATGGTTATAGGGTCTATGAATAGATAAACTCTACTCTTACTCACTTCGGGCACTAGAGAACACCTGGTCTGCCAAGCGTTGCTAGCCTGTAGCTCTACGTCGTACCCAGACATGGGGGATTACGAGGGATGGACATGGCTGTCACCACCTACCGCCTACCCCTCAACCATAGAGTATGAGGCAAACAAAGGTAGCCTCTAGCCTAGACACCACGTCTACGCTATCTACTACTACTCTAATGTGTACACAAGGGTTATCCATCTCTATCAAGGCCCTTCTACTAGAGCATCCGCCATAGGGACGAACGGCGATCCCACAAACAAGTAAGAATAAAGATTAACTAATCAAAAGGCTTTATACCATAGAATACACGAACACTCACTTAGCGGGGAAAACCCGTTGAAGTAAAGATTCTCGTTGAGGTACAAGTTAGGGAGACACCGACAAGTCTGGCTCTTCCCCAAGCTCTCCCTCGCATCTCTCCCTTACAACTCTAGCTAGCTACTAGGGCCTAAGCCCTTTGGAGTGTTGCTCTAACTCAAGTGGAATGCTCTTTGCCTTGTGTGTTGTGTGTTGTAGAGGGGAGATACCCCTCTATTTATACAGGGCTCAAGGTGGTGCTTGGAGCTATTTTTGGCGTGAAGCACGAGCTGCATCGCCTCTGCATGGGAGCATGCCACCGCCAGAGCAAGGGCTGGCTGAGGAGCGTTGGCAGAGGGTCGGGCGCCCCTAGGGGTCGGACGCCCCTTGACCATGCCACCTAGCCACCACCTTCATGTGGCAGGCTCTGGGCTAGGCCTAGATCAGCCCTCGATGGTGCTTTGCCCCGGTTAAGTTGAGTTGGCGGGCGTCTCCCTTGTTCCTTTGCTCAAATTAGTGTCGGAAAAGCGCCTTTTAGTGAATTTCTCCATGTATTTGTGTTTGTGACCTACAAAATAATGTTCTCCAAATACATGTGGAACTTGGTTAATAGTAAATGCATGTGTTTTAAGATTGTTAATTTTCCCCCTTTTTGTGTCTTAATTAGCGGTCGGATTTGATTGGTAAGGACCGCCAACAAGCTACTCCTTGATCTTCATACCATCTAACTTTGCTTGCAACTCACCAAGCTTCTTTCTTTCATTTGCTTCTTCTCTTTGTATGTCAAAGGTCAAGATCGTTCCAAGTACATCATTTGGTGTGAAGTACTTAAACTTCTTTTTGTCTCTAATTAGAGTCACAACGATCTCATTTCTAGGTGAATACGCTTCTAGCATGATTTTGACTACCTTGTGATCATCTAGCTCATCACCACCATAGCCTCTAATCTTGCCGACAATCACCATCAACCTATCAAACATCTCTTATGGCCCTTCTCCATCCAATATCACAAACCGGTTCAGCTTGGCCATCAACACCTCAATTCTTGACTTTCTCACTTTGTCAACCCCTTCATGTGCAAGGTGTAAAGTGTCCCATATTTGCTTGGAAACATCAACACCCATCACTCTATTGTACTCATCACCATCCAAAGAACTAAGCAACACACTTATGGCTTGACCATTGAGATGAATAATGCCTAATTCGATTGGTGTTGGATTCTTGGGATCCACCGATGGCTCAAATCCATTGTAAATAACCTCCCAAATGCTGGGGTGAAGACCTATAAGATAGGCTCTCATCAAGTGCTTTCACTTGGCAAAGTTGGTCCCATCGAAATGAGGCAATTTGCCCGCGGGCACATTGATGAAAGACCTCCGATCATGGTTAGGCATAGACATAGAAGAATAGTTAAAGGATATTGCTGCATATTTGTTGTTGGAGTTGACTCCGTCCTTTCATTTCTTCTCCTTCTTGCCTCCCTTGGTCACTTGGTAGGACTCATCATCATCTCCATCTTTGGAGCTACTTGATATCTCACTTGATGATGCATTGGTTGCTTTTGCTTCTTCTTGCTTCTTCTTCCTAGCTTCTCTTCGTTTTCTTCTTGCTTCTCTCTTGAGCTTTCTTTCTTCTTTTCTTTGCTTCTTGTCTTCTAGCCTTTGTTGCTCCTTCTTTCTCTTTTCTTTTGCTTCTCTTTTTGCTTTTCTTGCTTCCTTTTTTTTTTCTTTCTTCTTCATATTGAGCCTTCTCACCATCGGTCATCTCGAGCAGTGGGAGAGTGGTGTTACTCGCTGTAGATGCACTGACCTAACTGCTATCGGTCTCGTGCAAGCCCACATCCTCTGGATCCACGTTCATGGGCTTCACAACACCAGATCCTCCTCCCAACTCCATACCTCACGCGATGAAGCGTATACGAGGTAACCTGCTTCGATACCACTTGTAGGATCTCTGGTTAGTCTAGAAGGTGGTGAATAGGCATGTTAAAACAAAAACTTGAACAAATGTCAATTTTGACCCGCAGCACTGTCGCTCTAACCTTATGGCACTGCCGCACCTACAGACAACTTCAAATCACAGTTCAAAATCTATGAATCAAAATTTAGATTAGAGAAATTACTGAGCTTCCTGCATGTGTATAGACCACAGATCGACGGCTAAAGGTTGTAGGAGAAGCACATACAAGTAGATCAGTCACAAACCCTAAAAATCACCTTAACAACAATATGAAATGCAAGTGAAGTAAATCAAGCACACGGTGACATAATGATTTATCCCGTGGTTCAGCTCGCCACTAAAGCTCGCCTAAGTCCACGTTGTTGAGATTAGACACTAAAGCTTAGGGCTTTGCAACCCTTCCTCGTTTTCAAGTCAAGAGACTCAACTCTTGAGATGAAGGGTGAGTTTACTAGCTTTAAGAGATGTTTACAAACCTCTCAGGGCTGCCACATAGGTTGGCAAGCTCCAAGAACGACGCTCTAGCTGGCTAGGAGCCAAGCTCCAAGAGTAACAAATACAATCGTCAGCCAAAACGTGAACCAAGTGCTCTTTAGAGTTGGAAAAATAGTGGATCTGCTCTCTAATCAAGTTTGGAACATTTTCTCTCAAGGAATGATGGGAAAATCAAAGGAAAAGCTTGAGAGCTTGAGGGCACCGATAGAGGAGAGAGAGTGAGCACTAAGCAGCTTTTTGTCAGTTTGAGAGGCTAGGCAAGGAAGAAGACTGTTGTGAGGGAGAGGGAGAGGTATAAATACCTTCCCATGCCCCAACAATCAGATAAGTCATGGTAGTGCCACGGCCTATCTGCGGCAGTGCCATTCTGCGGCATAGCTGCGCTTCAGGTGCGGCACTGCCGCACCAAGCCAGACAGCAAAGGGTGAGAGTATTGAGCTGGCTGTCTTAGCTGATCTTTGAGGATGCTTTAGTGTAAGATTAAGCACTTGCTTGCATATGTTAGCATAAGCATTGTGTCCCCCCTTTATAGTACGGTTTTTTTCTATACTTAAATTCAAAATATAAAAAATAAATAAACCTCCTTCGAACTTGAAGTCGTCATCTTTTGTAATTGGGGGATCCTTCGTTATGTATAACATCCTCATTAGTGAATCTTCTGTTTGTCATCTCGATAAATCTCATTTGTCCTCTAATTGCGTGGTCATTTTCACCAAAACTCATAATTAAGGCTTGATTGCACTTACAGTTGGCTACTGCCAGGTCGCACCACCATCCTCGGTCGCCGGCTGGCTAGAACCGGCCATTCCCCGCTCTGCTCTGCGTCGTCCGAAAGAAGAAGGGTGAAAAACACATGTTGCAAGCGTATGTTTCAAGTGTTTCAGATGTTTTATAGGTATGTTGCAAGCGTTTCATATAGATGTTGCAAAGTAGATCGGGATATTCTATATGTTGCAATGGTTGTACACATATGTTGCAAGCTTCTATTTCCAATGTTTCATCCATTTTTCAAACGTATGTTGCAAGTGTGGTTATTTGGATGTTGCATATGATTTCACACATATGTTACAAGTGTTCTATCTGGATGTTGCGTATATTTGCAATGGTTTCATGTGTTTTTGTAAGTGTTTTAGACACAAGTTTCAAGTGTTTCATCTGCCTTCAAATATATGTTTCAAACGCTGTATCTGGATGTTTTAAAAGTAGATCGGGTGTTGCACATGTTACGACGGGATCCACCTTCCGCAACCACCAGCTGCAGCTGTTAGGGCGCCGCCGAGCGAGCACGGACAGCAGAGGGGACACGAGCGGTCCCCGCACACGGTCTAGCGGCGCGGGCGACGTCCGAGCGGCATGGGCCCCACGTGGGCGCTTTAAACGCAGGCGCGGAAGGGGTGTGCTGTCACGGACGGGGCCGTGCTGGCACGGGGTCAGAGTGCAGACGTGTGTGGAAAACGAAGTGCAGCCGCAGACGTTCGGACGCACATGCCTTCCTGAATGTCCGGGCGCTAGCGCTGTGGTTTCCCATTCCTGTGCCGCCACACGGGGCACGGGGATGTTGCATCCAGCGAAGAGCAAACCTTATTTTTGGCTGATCATCGTTTCGATATGGAAGCGCAAGTACGCAGGCCCTGGGCCTGACCAAGCCCGCCTACCGCTACAACTGGACCGAGTACCGGATGAACAAAGATCAGAGGATGCCCACGCGCCGCGGACCCCGTCCACCCCCAAGTCCACGTCAGTACGCCACGGCTCCACGCCACCGCCCGCGACCAAGTCCGTCCACCTCTGCTCTGCGTGGCCGCCTTTCTCGTCTCTCCCTTCCACTCCATGGCTACATCATCCTCCCCGGCTTTTCCCCACCAAAAGCCAAAAACCACGGCACCTTCTGCCACCTAGTCCCCACACCCCAGAAGGAAACCCCGCGTCCCCACCCCCAAGCACAGCGGCACACCGGAGGGACACGGGACACCGGCACACCGCACACGCGCGACGCGGCAGCACAGAACCATGGCGGCTCTGCCACCCTTCTCGCCGCGGCGGCCCTTCTCGTCGCCGTGCTTCATCCTCTGCTTCCTCCTCGGCTTCGTCGCCGGCCTCTTCCCCTTCGCGCACCGCCACCTCCACCTCGACCTCCACCACCTCCCGCTCCCGATCCCGGACCCTCCTCCTGCTGCGCCGACCCAGGCCCTAGTCCGGCCGCCACCGACGACGACCCTGATCGTCGTGACGCCGACCCGCGCGCGCCCGCTGCAGGCGTACTACCTGCACCGCCTCGCGCACACCCTCCGCCTCGTCCCGCAGCCGCTGCTCTGGCTCGTCGTCGACCGCGGCGCCGCCACGCGCGAGACCGCCGCGCTGCTCCGCGGCAGCGGCCTCATGTACCGCCACCTCCCCTCCTCCCACCGCGACGCGCCCGATGATGCTCGCCGGAGGGCGCCCGAGCACCCGGCGGAGCGCGGCCTGCGGCGCCAGAGGAACGCGGCGCTCGACCACATCGAGCACCACCGCATCCACGGCCTCGTCTACTTCGCCGACGAGGACAACGTGTATTCCCTTGACCTCTTCCATCAGCTTCGCGGCATAAGGTAAAGCACATCGCACTTCTCTTAGTTTCCCCCTCGCTCTTACGTACACGCATTCGCGACCCTATTAGAAATTGGAGTCAATTGAGTTGCTGTACAGCAATTCTGTATTGGAATTTGAAACCCATTGTGATCTACTACGCTACGTAGGAGTTTCGGCGCCTGGCCAGTCGCAATGCTGGGCGTGGGGAAGAGCAAGACACTTCTGGAAGGGCCAGTTTGTGACAACAGCCAGGTGATAGGGTGGCACACGAACGAGAGGGACAAGAGGCAACGAAGGTTTCACGTGAATACTTCGGGCTTTGCTTTCAATAGCAGTATGCTCTGGGATGCCGACAAGAGGGCTCATCAGGCGTGGAATTACATCCGGCTGCTGGACACGGTCAGAGATGGGTTTCAGGTAAGGCTCCTCCTGCTCATGTCCCTGTCGAAAAGTTCCATTTCTGAGAGTATACGCATACGCGTAGCTCATAAAATAGCCTGGTCAATTCTTTGGTGACAAGTGCAGTAGATTGGGATCGGCATTTTGTTTTTGCCTGCTTTGAATACGTGTTCTGGTACAATGCAAGGCCCTGATTGAATTGCTCCTATTTTTGCATTCTCTGATATTTTCAGTTTACTAACTCAGAAAGTCAGAATTGCCCGGCCTTCCTTGGTTGTGCATGATTGTATAAGATTTACTGTGCTCAAAGTCATATCCCTCCTAAATTTGTGTGAATCATACTAAATTTGCTCTAGGTGCCATTTAATTAAAAAAAACTCAGACCTGCATGGGGTAAAACAGCCCTCGGGCATTTTGCTAAAAAGAAGCCCTTAATTTGAATAGTGTCTTGCTTCTCAATAGTTTCAGTGTTTAATCTCATTTGTACAGACTTGTTTTGACCACTTATGCGTCTCCACCTTATACCTGGCAAAATTTTAGTGTGAATCCACATGGCGCATTGTCTGCATTGCGTTATTGTATTCTGTTACAGGGAGATGGAACTGAAAGATATTTATACCTTTTCAATCAACGCAAAAAGTAATTATCCTGGGAAACTATGCAAAGCATTTTTATTACTTCAGCATGTAGTCCCTCTCTGCTGTATATTGTGGAAAATTTTACCCTGCACAAAGCAATTATGGATGTTTTTCATGCACATAAGCTACTGAGATTAATACAGGAAAAAACATTCTTCCTATGTCATCCCCGTATAATTTATTATGAAAATTAAATTTTATTTATACCTAGCATCCACATTAGTAATTACATGTGCTCTATCTGATTGAAATAAACCATGATACATACAGGCAACAACATTTATAGAACAGCTTGTAGAAGATGAAACTCATATGGAGGGCATACCAACTGGTTGTTCAAAAATTATGAATGTTAATCTTCGTCTAGAAGATAAACATCTTGTACATCCAAAGGGGTGGCAAATGACAGAAAACCTGGATGTATTAATTCCTCTCTGAGCCAGAACAGAGGCATACCGGCCTGCAGGTAAAGACTTGATAATTTTGCAATTGTTTCTCTATAATGATGTGAAAATAGCATCATTTTTATGTAATTTATGTTTCATACATTAATGTTGTGAAACTTAGATATTTTTCTTATATCTTGCGGGGGGAAGGCTTGCCTCGGTTTTTCTCTTCCCCAGACCCCACTCATGTGGGAGCCTCCAGCACTGGGTCTGCCCTTTATCTTGGTCATGGTTTATCATGTCTTTTGTTTTGCCAAATATACAGAAACCTTAGGATTGGTTGACAGATGTCATTGTTCTTCAGCATTTGTTTTTTGTTAGGGTTATTCTGATTCTTAATGTGTGGCGTGTCTGTCTGTTCCTCCAGCTTCAGCAATCAAGCACATGGAAACCGCCGAGCATGACGTATTTGGCATGTGTCAAGCTGAAGAAAGTTCAGGGCCACTGGAGGTTTAGGTTAGGTGTACATTAACCAAAGGAAATATGCACTTAACTTTTCACAGATTTGTTTGTAGCAAAGAGCTAAAAACTTCCGATTAGGTACATGAACTACATCTAACTTATTGGTTTATTGAAGTGAATGTGGTGACTACTTTTTCCACTAGAGACTAGAGATAACATGGTTAAGTAGTTTGAATTATATACGATACATGCATTGCTATGTATCATGACTTATTTGCTGGGGAGATAAGCAAGTAGTTGAAGGAATCATAGCTGTACAAATATTTCGACGAAGATGTACAAACGTAAAGTCAACTTATGAGCTTGTCAAAGCCGAGCTTCGCCATTAATTTTTCCATTCTGGAGTCAATTTGCCTGTGCAAAGTGAGAAAAGGACTTTACCCCTTCTGTATTGAATGACCTGGTAGTAGAACCCTACCTCCGTATATTTCCTCGTGTGTCGGATACTTCTGTTGATCAATTTGATTGAATTTTGAACCAAGCTAATGAGTAGTGACCAGGTACAATGTGAAAACCTTGTCGTGCCCAGATTTGACTGCGTGTGTAGGCTGCAGCAGGTGAAGTCAACGCCGCTCTTTTGCTGGTATATATACTCGCTATACAAGGACGGAGCCTCGGTCCGTTGTTCAGTGGGTAGAGCCCATGAAACTTAATTTCCTTGGGCCACTGCGATGAATGATCATCTTAGGCCTCGTTTAGATGCACATATATCTATCTTAATCCACGTGTGTTAAAGTGTATTGAAGTACAATTAAACTAGGTTCTATTCCAATCTATTTCAACACATGTAGATTTCCTTACAATGGATACGCATGCATCCAAACAAGGTCTGAGCCCATAAAACTTGAGGCCAACAATTTTCTTGTTTGGGTTGGCATGGTGCAACAAGAAAGGAGGCCCAAAAACTATGGCCTGCCCTATCTTCCCATTTTTATCGCAGACTCTATCGTGCGGCCAGTCATGCTCCGCGCCGAGCGCGCGACGCGGGGCCAGCCCACCCTACCGACCTCCACCCCACCTACCATCGGCGTCGGAGACGAGGACCTCATCGGCATTAGGGTTTCGACGTTAAGGATCTATTCACCGATGGCCTTAGGAGGAGGTTTTAGGGGACGGCGTCTATGACACGGCGGTGGAGGCGGGCGAGACAGCGGCAGGGGTGTCGCGCGGAGATTGTCAGCAAGCTGCCCTGTGATTAGGGGAGGGCGGGAGGTGGGTAGCGCAAGCCGCTGGTGGTGGAATCCAGTGGCGAGGGCGAGGACGAGGCCGACAGGGGTGTCGCGATGGAGCTAGCCGACGGCTTCCCTGTGTTTAGGGGCGCGGTGTTGATGGGCGGGGGGAGGCGGGTGGCGCGGCGAGGTAGCAGGAGCCGTCGGCCGTGGGCGGTGGAAGCCAAGGCGGGGGTAGGGGCAAGGACGTGGCTGGCAATGAGGAAGCCGACGGGTCGATCGTTTCCCAAACGCGCAACCCGTCGCTCGTTAACGTGGTCCGCCCACAGTAGCAAAGACCAGAAAAATGTTTGCCTCAAAAACAAAAATAGAGAGTACAGAGTTGCATTGACGATGGCACTGATGAAGAAACAAAGTCCCAAGCAAGAAACGAAAACAGCATATTATGTTTTTAAGAAATGTGCTTAGAGCATCAACAAAGGTGTTTCTTAAACCTACTTTTTAAATCATCATTTGAAGAGTTATTTTTAAATTAAAATCGCTCTCTATATCTTTCTACCCTCCAACAGCTTCCATCTCATTCTCCATCTTTAGCCAGTGAGAAATCTAGAATAGAAGAAATCTAGAATAGAATATGATAATATTTAGAGGTTTCATTAAATAAGTTGTACCAAAATTTGGAAAGTAATCGTCTAGCTTAGCTTAAAAAGACAACATTCACATGGTAGCTATTATTAATTTCTATTACTAATCCAAATATGGTAATCAGGAAGGGTTTTTTTTCATGCGTCATTTGGTTTACCTTATTTCTAGAACTTCTACGATACCTTGTATTCTAAGACAAAGGAGTTTACATACACAATGCAAGTGTTAAGGCTGGTCAGAATGCACGTCGAATTCACTTACTAACATGTTCGAGAGCTGCCTTTCCGAAAGTGCGGCTTGTTGCCATGCAATCTAGCCAGATGGAAAGTTTTGTTCAAGGATGAAATTGGCCTGATTTGTATCAAGGCCAAAGCCAACACTGCAGGTTGCCTAAAACTGTGGTTAGAGAATATACATTAATGTTTCCCTATTTTCTTTCTGAGCTTTGCAAGCTCTTTTTATGCACTGCTTGTGCATCTGTAATCTTTTACCATCAATATTAATACAAAAAATAGGTAGTGGAATACCCCCACTGATTCCTCAAAAAAAAAGTGCGGCTTGTTTACTATCCGGACAGACCAAATTCAAAGTGGATAAGGATCGAATTTATTAGACAAGCAAAAGATTGTTCTTTTTTCCATAAACATGGAACGCGTACATCTTTAGTACTGTACACATTTATGGAAAGAGCAAGCTTTGTCTAAGAATAGTACTAATAAATTCGATCGTAAGCTGACGTGCACGTGCATGGACAGGAGATAACTTTTGTCCCGTTCGCTTGACTGATAAGTCATAACTGAAAGTACTGTTGCCTGATTTGTTGTGAGAAAAAAAATATTATTCGTTGGCTGAAAAAATACGGCTTATAAGCTAAGTGAACAGAGGATTGTTCTTTCCTTAATTAAACAATGCTTTGTCGTTTATAAACGGACCTAAGCCCTTCGTCCTCAAGTGGCGTACGCGAATGCCATTGCATCTCGAGGAAGCAACGCCACACTTGTATATCTCAGCGACGACGATCTTGCATGGCATGAAAGCTGGCAAAAGGCGACGGTGATTACAGTTTCTTAGGGAGAAGGCGATGTTGATTATAGATAGGTTTTGCTCCTTTTATACAGATGCAAGCAACGATGTCGATTACAGGTTCCTGTCCCTGCTTCTGCTACGAAGATGATTTGCATTACAGCTTCTTCTTGTCCTCTGCCCGCTCCAAGATGTATCCAACATGATTTGGATATACAGTAGGTTCTTGTCATTGTTGAATGTAGATTATATAGGTTCTGCCCGCTCCGTCCTAACAGATCGCGCGATATATAATATAATTACAGATTCTTCCCCTTCTAGGGAGCTTGCCTGTCCTACAGATCCCTTCTACGATTCTAAGTATCATAATGGGTTCTTCTTTGCTCATATGGCCTCATACGGAGCAAGGGCGATGATGATTTTGATTATGACTACAATTCGCAGAAGGGTTTGATTCGGGTATCATAGGTTCTTAGTTTTTGTGGCAAACACGCTGCCGTACCCAGTTCGCAGCAACGTGTAGGAAGCAAACAGGGTCAACTCGTATATAGTAAAGTTAACGACCAGAGGTGCGGCGGCCTGGTACAGCTCGCGGCTTCATCCCGTACCTACGCTCAGGCCACTGCAGACCATCAGACCAGCAAGTCCCAAATACTTGAACAGAAAGACGAATGAAAGCCTTTCATCCCAATGCCCTCTGTCTGCAAATCTGCCTATCTAAAGCTGGGCCACTGCTGAAACATATCACACTTGCATGCAATAAGGCAGAAATCATCCACAACGACAGACAAGCACGACAGCACAACTCATAGATCGAACCACCAACGCATAGAGGTTTACAGCTCAATTCGAAGTAACGTGATTTAGACATTACTAAATACAAGCAGGAGCTTACAGCCCAATTAGCAGCAACGTGCGAGGAAAACAGGGAACTAGCATAAATACTGACCAACGTGTAGGAAGCAAAGAGGTGCGGCCTGGTACAGCTCGCATCTTCATCCCGTCTCCACGCTCAGGCGACTGCAGATCATCAGACCAGCAAGTCCAAATAGTCCCGAGTGACGAATGAAATGAAAATATGGAAGCCATTCATGCCAAATTGCCAATGCGTGCAATCTCAAGCAAGATCCAAAACTGAAACAGATATCACACTTGGCATGCAAAAAAACAGAAATCCCACAAGTACCAACCAGTAGTAACCACCGCTGCGTCCTGGTACAGCTCGCAGCTTCATCCCATATCCAAACTGAGGCTACCGCAGGTCATCTGACCAGCAGGTCCCAACTCCCAAGTAGTCCAGAGTGCCAAATGAAACCATCCACTCCATTTTTTCAATCTCAAGCTGAACCACTACTGAAACATATCAGACTTGCATACAACCAAGCAGAAAACATTAACCAGGACAGACAATAAGCACGAAAGCACAACTCATAGATCGAACCACAACGCTTAAAAGGATGGTTTAACGACATCCTACAAGGTTCCAAGTCTTCCTTTGGGCACCAAGAGCTGCAACAAGACAGCCAACATAACTGCAGCCATGCTTAAAAACTAACATTTAACATCCTACTTGATTAGTCTTCCGGAGGCAGGCACCAAGTGCCGCAACAAGTTCACAAGTTCATGGGCATCATCCAAGAGCGTTTACTGCCACCAGACATAACTACTACCAGGGTTCAGACCCAACCAATCCACCAAAAGTAAGGCCACGGCACATGCCAAAGGCAAATGCCAAAGCAGCAAGCTATAGATGCTCAGCAGAAGAACATAGAGCTCCGGACTTTCTCATGCAGACGGGGCAGCTCCTGGACAGGGACACTGCCTGCCGAAGTATGGCCGCCATGGCTGGAGGATGTCTCTGACATCTCATCAAACTTTATGAACTGGCCAACCTGAGCAGCTGCGAGATGTGCATAGCAGATGGGAGCAACTGCAGGCAGGCAAACGATGGAATCAGTTCCCACAGATCTGATACACAAGCTACTGGAGGGGATGAGTTTGCCACACAAAAAGAAAAGTTGCCAGAGTAAACTTACCAACTGATATGGCTGTTGTGCTCCTTTGGTACCTGAAATAAAGTCCCACAAAATGGCTAGTGAGCAGGCAAGTTTTTTTCATAATAACAGGACAAAAGGTTAGCAAAAGTTTTTAAGCCTCTGCTTGGTACTTACACATAAGAAAGGGAATGCACCAGCTCCTGCAGGTCATCAGGGTTGAAGCCTATCTCATCATGCAGGATGTGATAGTGAGTTGGCCTCGT